TTCTGACTTTGTTAACCTCTGCGTATCCGCTTGGACAACATAGAGGCCACAAAGCGATTCGAATTGGACACTTATATATTCGCTAGTCATCATGGCCAAATTCCAACCAACGCTCGTCATTCACGATGCCCAAAGTTCCTACTAAGCTAACGAGAAAATCAAAAGCAAGTGTTTCGATCCACGATACATTATCCCACAATTGAACGCTCTCTCCAGAGAAACCCCAAGCCAATACCTTTCGGGGAAGTTCCGGAAGGATATGATCAAATCCGAGTCCCTGAACAGCAAGAGCAGGATATGACCTTGAAGCGGAAACGTTTTGTTAGGTTCGAGCCCATAGGAAAGAACAACCAGAAGGGATACGGTCTCCCTTTATCAGACCTCCTTGCACGGCGAGGGCTAGTAGATCCGAGTAAACCCATCTTCGAGAGTGATGTCAGCAATGGGAAGACTACTGTGACAGTATCACTTCAAGTAAGTCGACCCTCTACTCACAATTTCATACGCTAACTGCCCAATTCACAGTGGCCTGGGTACGCTCATTTGCCTTGGATCGTGGACATAGGTCTTGTTCATCCGTCCGGCAACCTTCTCACCCGGGAAGAGCTTGGACACGCGCTCGCCCTCCAAGTCACAGAATTCATCGAAGTAAAATTTATTATTATATCCTTCGGGTCCTCCCACTGATAATTTCTTCTTACAGAAATGTGAAACACACGAAGCTTTTGTCCCGACAGACGAGTTTTGGCGGATAGGACCTGGTGGATTTAACATGGATACCATCCGATTCTGGAATCTGTGGACTGCAGACGAGGAGGTGTGGTATCTGAGCTTTCACGCTTTGGCGCCCATAATGGACCTTTCGTTTCTCGAACCTAGTAAAGACGAAGGCGCCCCACAGAACGATACAACTCACATTCCAAGCGATTCAGAAGATGTAGCACGGTTCATCGCCTGGTTCACGCATTGCGATGATCCAGAAACTGAAGATGGTGTCTGAACTTCGCAATTTGCATTTTCTTGTCAATTTTCTCACTAAGATCGAAATTTAAATTAATTGATCTGTACACGTGATACGTTACTCAGCCGATCCGATATATATTAACAAAGTTATCAAAATCCTTCTTGACTCCCAATATTCCACTAGCCCTCGGAGAAGGATTGTAGAAGGCCAGAATAGAGAGGCCTAGCCCACTCATTCGCGCGTACGCAACTGAATATACCTCGTATGGCACCGTTCATTGTTTTTGGATATGGTTCTCTTATATTTAAGGTTAGCAAATGAGTCGTCCTATCTCGGCCTACAGTAATTGAAAGAACTGTCCAATTTAGCCTCCCCCTCATACCATCCGTCAAGGTATCATTGCTTGACTATCGACCGCACCTTTCTATATAGGACTCATGATGGGTTTAGTCCCCGGTTTTCTAAAAGGGTATGTTCGACGATTCGCCCAGAAGTCGCACGATCATAGAGGAACACCCGAAGTATTAATATCGAACCCCCTTGCATGAACGGCACCTAATTCGATTGATCTGTTCAGAGTCCAGGGAGGGTGGTTACCTTGATCCACAAAGAAGATTGGGATAAATTCTCGGGTTCTGTGAGCTCGTGCCTCGTTTCAGGTCATCCTGATTCTTGTGACTTAAACTCGTTGGCCTAGGATGCCTTTCCGGACGAGGATATCGTGTGGGGTATGTCTCTCTATTCTTTGAACAAGGATGACCTTTAATGTTATATGTAACCCATCCAAAGGGATTGCGTATACCATAGATCCTATTTATGAGGCGGAAGTACGCGACTACCTAGGTAAGATATTTAAACTCTAGTAGTTTTACATTTTGTCACGATTTTCCTTCGCAAGATTATCGAGAAAAGGCTTGTGACTGACAGTCGTAAGATATAATTTATACTGAACTACTGATAGGACGGATATACCATGGAAACTCTCGATATATATGGGATGGATGATGGTGTTGAGAAGGTCATCATACATGGTGTAAGATCAATTCCATCAGTAATCTCTGACTATCCTGACTTGCATGGTGGCTCCTTGAACAGGCTATTGTAAGTTTTTTGTAAGCCCTTCGTAGCCCTGCTTGAAAAGTGTGGTAGTGTTACGTTGGCAGAGACGATAATCCGTCGTTTGGTGTGTTATATCCAGACAGATTCAATCATATACTCATTTACCTTAATCAGTTGGTTCAGAACCCCTCGACGCTTTAGCCGACAGGATTTGGACATCCGTCGGCCCCTCGGGGCGTAATAAAGTGGGCTCTACCAGACTGAGAAAAATAATTCGGCGCTTAGGTGCCTAACCCCAGGACTATTTATACAATCTCGCCGCCGCCATTCACAATCTTTCGCCAAGTTCCTACGATTCACATCTTTATGCCCTAGAGGTGCGAGAATGATGATCTGCTTAATCAATCTCTAATTCCTACATCATTTCCAGGCAAAAGTCAGAGCACTGGATGACAAGAATGGGACTAGTACCCAGGCATAGCTTTAGTCCGCTGTCTATCGGACTCGTAACGGAATCCGCTTTCCGTGGAAGGAACAATATTTAGAAGGACTCTACATCAACATCTTTAACCCTTTCCCGCTCTTACTAACTAATCAAACGTGTCTCAGAGTATCATCAGGGGTGTTATTGACCTGAAACAGGTAACTGACTGAAGGAAGTCGGCAAAAAATCGGTAGTAAAATTATTTCACGGTTCGAGCAACAATCTTTCATAAAACAATCGAGTTATAGGAACTAATACCGATTCATTTCAATGGAGACGACAAGGTGTCTATTGATAAGTCCATATTAGTGGACATGGTTTATTGTATTATCTTAGTGCGGGGAAATGTTACGGCTTAGTATTATTCCACAAAGCGCCGCGAGATCCGGCGCTAGTGCGAAACCAACAGCAAACCCGAGATAAGATAAGATAAGATTGAAAAATTCTCTGACTCGGATCACCCTTTGGAAGGCCTTTGAAATTTCAGGCCAATGAAGGTGATGGGTCCCTATCCGCGGGTCTTTCCCTTTTCCCAGCTCTTACACCAACTACTGCCATCTCTCGTTTTCACTCACAATGGCTATCGAAAAAATTTCCCCCTCAACGAATGGTGGAACACACGTCGCTCCCCTTGATGTGAGTTGACTATGCCAAGCTCCGTAGCGGCCACTCGATACTCATTCTTTGATCGTCAGGCGTCTAAGCTGGTTGTCAACCTCGCAAAGACCTTGAAGCCCCTTGTCCCTTCAGAAGACCTCATCTTCGGAGAGGTGAGTCCTTGTTTATCGTCGTGCGCACTCGGATTTACATCTCCTTCGAACAGACGAAGACGGACCACATGCTCGTGGTGAGCTATGAGCCCGCCACAGGCTGGTCTGCACCAGAAATCAAACCCTACGGGCCTCTCAACCTTGACCCTGCCAGCTCATGCTTCCAATACTGCCCGAACGTCTTCGAAGGCATGAAGGTCAGCACGTCCGAAAACCCGATCGGACTCCCTTCTGACTCACCCCATGTTTGCGATTCACCCCCCTGCAGGCCTATCTCGGGCCGAACGGAGAACCACGCCTTTTCCGCCCTGACAAGAACATGGAACGTCTTTCCCGATCCGTCGAGCGCGTCGCACTGCCGGTACGCGTTCTATTGGGTATGCACGTTGTGGAAAGCTAACAGCTGAATCTTCTGGCTTCTGCCCATGCAGCCGTTTGACACTAGTGTCCTTCTCGAGCTCATCAAACGCCTCGTGATGGTCGAAGCGCGGTGGATCCCGTCCGAGCCCGGACACAGTCTTTACATTCGCCCTACAGTCATTGGCACACGCGCAGGTCGGTATTTCAATCTGGGTCAACTCGATCCCGGTAGACTGCTAACCCCGCGTTTTTAGCTCTTGGCGTAGCGGCGTCCGACAGTGCGATTATCTACGTTATTGTAACCCCCGCTGGCCCATATTTCCGTGGCAGCGTGAAGGGAATCCCGCTCCTTGCTGTTGGCGAGAGCGTGCGTTCATGGCCTGGAGGAACGGGCGGACATAAACTAGGGCTGAACTACGCGCCTGGATTCCTCCCACAAAGAATTGCTGCCAAACAGGGATATAGCCAGATCCTGTGGTTACTCGGTGACGACGCGAAAATCACCGAAGCCGGCGCCATGAACTTCTTTGCGGTCGCTCGACGCGATGACGGGGGTGAGTAATACTTGCGTGATCCTGTTTGACGTTGTGATAACATGACTGCACTCGGCTAGATTTGGACATCGTTACGCCACCGCTGGACGGGACTATCCTTCCTGGTCTTACTCGCGCGTCTTGCCTTGCCCTACTGGATGGCCACACCCAGGGCCGTCTGACTCTTCCTGGAATCGCACTCACGCAGCGTCTGTACACTCACGAGCGAACCCTGACGATGTCCGAGATCGCCGCATGGTCAGCTGACGGGAAGCTACTTGAGGCGTTTGGAGTTGGGACAGCGGTTATTGTCGCTCCTGTTGGCCGTATTGGTTGGGAGGGCAAGGATCTGGTATTGCCGTCTGAGGAGACGGGTCTAGGGCCGGTGGGTAAGGCGCTCTGGGAGAGGATTGTGGATATCCAGGTTGGGAAGGTCGAGTGGGAGGGATGGAGTGTGTCGTGTGTCTGAATGCCTTAAAGGTGTGGGAAGTATCTTGCATACCCCCTAGAAGAAATGCTTCCCCGCAGAAAGCAGAGGCCATAGTATCTTGGGATACATGCATGCAACTGGGTAATATAGATTATATCTGTCATGAAATGTACCAATCGTAAAAAAAAGAAACAAATGTAAAATGCGGGCTTTTGAACCTTGATGACTGCGAGTTCTAAACCTCCAGAAGCACACCGCGTACGTACGCCCCAAACTTATATTGCTCCTCGGGTTATACTGCAGTCACTAGTCGTTGATTGATATCATTTTAGCCGCTCGACGATAACACAACTATGATTTGGCTGGCAATTGAAAAAAAGGATAGCCGAGGCAAAACGGATGATGAGAGGGAGATTCGAACTCCCGCCCCCGAAGAGACCAGATGATGATGGACGTATTCGTCCTGGTCCTTAGTCTGGCGCCTTAGACCGCTCGGCCATCTCACCATGTGTGCGGAAGTGCCCCGTGTTTTCCTGGGCGGCGGCGGCGCGGTGCTTTATTAGGTGGGTCCGTTTCCGGTGGTCCAGGTGTTTTTGTATACAGGTTGACTGTGAGCGTTCCCTTTTATCGTGGATAAACTGGATTGGGCAGGGAAGCGCCTGAATGGAGTTACTATTCGTTGTGTGGATGGACATCGGGTACGGTCTGGATACGATTATAAGTGGCTTGTATGCCATTGCGTCGTATTTGAAAACCAGGGTGATGTTGGAGAACCTAATGTGGGCGTAGAAAGCAACGAAGATAGTGGCGTTTTGAACGTTCTATACCAATTCTACGTGGCCTCGGAAACTCGTCAACTTGACGCCTCGCACCGATTTTGTCATCTGTAGCACAGCACGCGACAGCTCTGCTGACCGATTTAGTTCATAAAACCGAAGTATTTCGCGCATGCTGAGGTGTCCCTTATCCTTTTTTGGCGGCTTTTGAATTTGTCTGAACTCGAAAGCGTAATGACGGCTGGCCAGTTCATCGTTGGCGGAGAGGAAGGCAGAATATATATAGGTTACGTAATCCTCGACGTCAAACCAGTACCTTAACTCAGTCGCCGACAATCATGGCAGCTGCCATGTTCAAGGGCGCATTGGCCTGAATACGCCGGTTTACAGAGAACTCGGGGTCCTCAGGAGTGAGTTTAAGAAAGTTTCGTCCTAAATCTCGAGTGTTGACGGCGAAATCCATATCAGGGCAGTGCCACGTCTGTGCGAATTTAGGATCGCAAAGATTTAGCAGGGTTCCTGGACAATCTGGTTCGCCCTATTCAATTGCCGTCAGTGCATAGTCCCTTCCAAGCCAGGTTTGCTAGGAATGCCTGGCTTAAACACGTCGGAGATGGATTCTGCGGTTCGTGTCATCGTAACGCCGGCCCAATCGTCGTATTTCGCTGGCGAACCGTTCTCCGTCACTGTAACATTCAAGAACATACGGTCGCCAGACTCGGGGCCGTTCAAACCACCTACACATAAGAGGGGGGCTCATTCGATTAGCTCTGCGCCTCTTGCCCGACCACCGACCTCGCCAGGACCTCCGCGTACGCCTGTACCAGCTCACGTCACCCAACCGAGTAGTGGGGATGACATACCGACGAGAAAAGGGCTCGTGGGGAAACCCCACATTTCTAAGGGCGGGGAAGAGTTGCCCGAGTTGATAGAACAGAGAAGGAAACGAATGTTAGCGAAATCACTATCTGTTACGATAACTCCGCACGAACTCGAAGAACAGTTGGGGGAAGGCGTGGTTCCTAAATCCGCGTCATATGCACAACACACGTTCGCCGCCGACAGCCGCCACAGTAAGTCACGTAATTACTGGTTTTTGTATTATTTTCTGACCGATCGCAGCACCCACATCTCCTCGAGTATCGTCCCCCTTGACAAGGTCAGACACCCTCCCCCTCGGGTCCAACCATCCCCATGCTCGGAAGCAGTCTGTGCTCGATGGCCAGCTCCCTGCAGAACTTATCACTGCACCCGCACCGGTATCAGCATATCCATACTCTCCAAATTCCTCGACATCCACCTTCTCTCTAGCCCTCGACCCCATCGCAGAAGGCTCCCTCTCGCCATATACATCAACCCCCTCCCTAGCCTCCCCGTCCATCGAAACACCGTCCACCCCTACGTTCAGCTCTATCGACACCCCACTTCCAAACAGTGTCTATGCCTACCCTCCCCCTCGGCTCGCCCGTCGTCCACAGCAAATTGGTTTGGGACAGCCACCAGGCTCTCTTCGTCCAAATCAATTAGGACCTCCCCGAACGGCATTCTCAAGCTCTTTTCCTCAATCAAATACAGAGCTCATCCTGTACTCGTATGCCCAGCTTAAAGGCACCCTGTCCATTATCCCTGTACCGGGCGTCTACGCCACCCCCGAGCAGAGCCAGAAACTTAACTCGGTGCGGTCTGCGCTCCTTAAGAGGTCTGTCGTTGGTGGCGGTAGCATGGACATCACATCGTCGCTGCACCAACCCCTATCCTCTCACCGTCGTCGGCCAACACATAACCGATCGTCTTCATTCTCCACAGGTCTACTTTCCCTTCTGTCTCCCACGTCCATTGTCGCATCAGCGTCCACCCCACCCGCCACGTCAGGCCAATGGGTACCTCCTCCTACCCACCACCGCCGTACACCATCCGGCTTCTCACCGGATCCATCACCTATAACTAGTAGATTCCCGAACGCCAATGGGGTTGGGTTGGGTTTGGGTATCCCCAATGGTAATGGGAGTGCTGGGGTTGTGGCTGAAGAAGAGGTCGATCCTGAAGCCCCTTTGCCAACGTTTGAGGTCCAGCCTGCGATGTTGGCTGTGGATATGTCATTATTGCCTGGGGAGTCGCGGACGTGTATGTGCCTTTGTTCTTATACTTAGTATTTAACTTTTCTTAACGTTACGCTATATAGACACGTATACGATAGCCCTCCCGGACAATCTCCCGCCTACGTTCAAAGGCCGTTCACTCAAGTTCTCATACGAACTTATTATTGGTACTTGTCGAGCTGGTACCAGTGGTTCTGGTGCCACAAGTGCTAATAGCATAAGTAGGGTGATGAAGGTTCCTATACGAATCTACAACAACGTCGTTGGTCAGTACTCATATTCTGCACACTAATGATATGTAAATACTGAACGTTGTCCTTACACTAGTGGGCCGGACACCACGACCTTACGACCTCCTATGGCCAGTGTCTGCGCGTAAAATTCCTTTACCCGATTTCCAAGGGAAAGTCGTGGAGGGGACAGTGAAGTCGCGGAAGCAGCTCGGCAAAGTACCCAATAGTAAGCCCATCCCTCCTATACCACGCAAATTTCTAAATTTAAAATAAATAACACTAGCACCATCAACGATCGAAGGCACCTTTGAAGATCTACAGGATTACGCACGCCGGCTGCTTGCGTCGTTCCCTGAACCCGGGGCGAGCGGGGTCCGGATCAAGCTCCCGGCTGAGTCGGTCTCACCGGTGCCTCAGAGTGGAGACGCGCTGAGCCGGGCGTGGCAGGATGAGGATGCGAGGCGGCTTGAGCGGGAGAGGGAGAGGGAGGAGGAGGGTGGTTTGACTGGGTGTAGAGAGGCTGTGGAGATCTTGACGAGGAATCCCAAGAAAGGTAAGTTCTGCGAGCATTTTCTTCTGTGGTAGATATCTTATATGTGCTATAGCATCGTATGATGTGAATAAGGATGGAGTGAAGGTTGCTGTTCTCACCTTCACGAAGGCGGCTTACCGACTTGGGGAGACTGTTTTGGGGGTTGTGGAATTGAATCAGAGGACGAGTAGAGCACGGGTCTTGCAGGTGTGTTCACTATTTGCTCGGGTTTCGGGGCGAAGGAACTAACTAGAGTATTACCCAGTTATCTGCCATGCTCGAGGCCCACGAATCCCTTCCCTCATCGATCTCACCACCCTCCACTTCTCGACATCTCCGACGTATCCATGCTGAACACCACTCATCATTCACAACGTCAACCCTGCGTACTACCTTCTCCCTAGACATCCCTTCGGATGCTAGTCCCGCCTTTGAAGTCCGGGCAGGCATAACACCGCCCGGTGCTCCACCCACATCGTCTGGTGGGCTTCAGTGGAAAGTCCGACTCTGTCTACTCGTCGCCGTCGCTGCAGAATCATCGGAAACAGGCACCGAGGGTGTGCGGATGAAGAGCCTGGTAAGAGATGGAGCACAAGGACAGTGGGGCTCCTCATGGCGCGCGCCAGATAGTATTGCCCCCATGGAAAAACCACAGAGACCGCCACCTTCTCCACAAGCCCCAACAACGACACCGAAAACATGGGCATCCTTCTTCGCGTCGTCCTTCCTCGGTTCCACCGAGAGCCCGTTCCATGATGGGGACGAGCACGATGATAACGATAACGAGGAGTCGGACTACGATGGCGTAAAACCCAATATGGCTGGTGGGGTGGGGGTGGGAGTGAACTTTGGGGGCGGGGACGACGGTTGGAAGGACGTGCGTTTGGAGACTGTTGAGTGCGAGGTGCCGATCAAACTTTGGCCTGGGAACACCGCTTTCAAGGCTGCTGATATTGTCTTTGACGTTTGAATGGGGGCCTCGGGTGATAAGTTCTATCTAGGCGCCCTATGCGCGCCTAGTCTGCTGATGGTTATCACTTCATCTTCACGAGTTCTATTTGCGGACATTTCTTGTTTTCGATGGATCGTGACCTTAGATGGAGTCCTGCCCACCTGTGGTTCTGTTGAACCTCAAACTCAATCACTTTTTCTTAATTTATTTCATCATTTCATTCCCGCAGCATGTTGTTACAAATACACAATACACAATGTTTGGATCTCACTCTCTATCGTAGTATGTAGTTGCTGGACATGTATGTTATTTTTGAAAAACTGAATGCATCGAATTTGTTGTTTGTGTCGATCACACCTTTCTTCCTCTGAAATTGTGGTAAAATTACAATGGCCAGCGTATAAGAGCTTTGAGACGTCCTGAAAACGTTGTTTATGTGCGCCATTCCCTAGCCCTGACCATCTAGTATTGATTCGGAAAGAGTTTGGTCATTCGAAGATGAGGCTCAAACAAAAAGATAGTATGCATGTTTTGAACTTGGACTTGGGTCCATGGAAGCGCTATGCAGGGCTTTGACCTTTTTTCGATTAACCGTGCGTTCTCGAGGACCCAAAAAAAAAAAATCGGTCGACGCGACAGACATCACATGACGTGACATGAACGCGATGGGCCCTTTCGCTAATTGCTCGCCAGCAACATCCAGGTTGAGAGGAAATAGAGTTTTCAACAATGAAAGCAGAGGGGCCTAGTAGTTGTGTGGCTCATAGATTTGGTGAGCATATGAAGGGAGGAAAACCACTTGTCGTTTGTGTACATTAGGTTTCTGGGGGGTAGGACAACTGCTCATTTGGCTGGATTGGCGCTCGGTAAAACATAGTGGAACGTCGAATTATTTTGACTGGGGCCTGTGTAAT